TGGAAGTCTCTGCTATCTGTGATTTGTAAGGTTTCTGTGTGACAGGAGTATGGGGCAATCATAGTTCATCTTTTCTGTTAGGTTTGAGTTCACACTATGAGCTGGCCTTTAATTTGGTAGGTCACATTGATGTGACTCAGAGAACCTAGTAAATGGAATAAGGTGTCACACTGCTGCACTTGGGGTTTGGCACAGAGGGGGCGCTACTCTACCTGCAGTTGTAGTATACAAGACCTGTGTGTCTGAATAAGGAAGCTTCATTGCTGAGCACCAATTGCTCCAACTCATGTGTCCAACTGTTTTTCAAATGTAGGATGCAGCTCAAGAAATTCCTCAGTGAGCTCTCCCATTATTTGGTATCAATATTGCTTTTGTCCACAATAGTTTCTTAATCTTCAATTTACTGCTGTAAAATAGCATTGGTAGAATACATTAACAAATATTTTGGGATTTGTTGTATGCTTCAGTCATTAGAGCTCTGAAGGTAGCTTGAGTCAGGCCACCCGTGGGCTGTCTGCTCCATGTCTACCAGTATCTTCTGTACAAGGCTGAATACGTTTTTTTTGTCTTTTGATAGACCCCGGAACACAGATCTGATCAGCGTATTGAGTGCTGGATTCCAGTCCTCTTATTAGCTTTGAGTGGGAATTGAGATTTTTACTTTGTGGCTTCTTCCCTGCAGTTTTCTTTAGTGTGGTCATGGGGTGGAATGAAGACTGTGCTGGGCTGCACTTTTGCCAAGGCAGTGGAAGAATGATGTGCAAAGCTCTTTGTACAACCTATTTTGTGGATTTTGATAACTGTTAGAAATATGATAACAGATGCTCATTTGGAAATTTGAAGGTTGGAGACAGTGAAGGAACCAAAAAAAAAGGATTAATGGGTGGCGGTGAATCTGAAACTGAATAATTTCTTAACATGGAAAAGAAGGAAATAGATTTTTTTTCTGTTACAAATAGAAACAGGAAATAATTCATGAGGGGCAAAGGTTCCCATTGTAAGTGCACTTCTAAGTGATGCATTAAATGGGATAAGTTGAAACCATGTAATTGAAGTTAGATATTGTGTAAGTGATGATACAAAGTATACAACTGACAAGACAGATGTAAGTTGTGATATTTTAAGTTTCAGTTCCAAGGTGAATTAGATACAGATATTTAATGTTGTACATCTGCTTTTGGATCAACCTTTTTGGGCATATTAGATTCACTGATTGTAGGACAAGACTACTTCTGTTTATTGCAGATTAACAGTGCAATGATCCTACTGTACATTGAAGAACAAGTGAACAGGTTCTTTTAGAACTTCTATGGCTTTTAATCAGAAATAATCAATGTAAGAAATCTTCCAGTGATGTTTGTGATGCTATTAACATAGAGAGCACAGTGCACATCATCATCTCCTTGCTGTGACATAACCATGAAATGAAGAGTCAGTATCTGTCTTTTCTCTGGCCTTGCAGTCTATTGAAAACCAAATATATTACATATAGCTCTCTGTTTTAGCTGGTGTAATGTTTAATGCAATGTTTTCAAATACATCCTGGCTGTTTCTGTAGGTATTGGAATCTGCTTGTAATCGTGCATTAACTTATTGTAACTCAGAAGAGTCTGATATTTTGTCAATGAAATAAACTATGATGCTTCACAGTTAGCAGTGAAAGTAATGCTACTTCGCCACATGACATTCCCGTAGTAGTATTTTGGAACGCTTGCTGCCTCGGTGAACTGCATGCTGTTCTAACCTGTGTGCAACACAGCTTGTCTGTTAGAATAAACTGGGGTCAACTATGAGAAACAGATCACCGACCTTGCAAGTAATCATCTGTGGATCCTAATTCCAATTGTTAAATGTTTCCTGTACAAAGGTTGACAACCAAGGTGAAAATTCCCTTCAAGGATCAATGGCCCTACTCCACAGTCAGTATTGACAGGAGTTTCCACTTTGAATGCGAAGAATCTTCAATTCCAGTATTTCCCGAGGGAAAGTTCAGCTCAATCTTAGCCGCCAATATAAACAATTTTAACTCTTGGTTTTGAATATAAATGAGTGGTAAACTTCTTTAAAAAGATAAAGTTGCCAAAGTCCTACCAAACCATAGGCTGCTGCCTCATTAGAGAGAGTGATGACTGGTGGTGGTTTCATTTGAGGGTTATCTCACCTCAGGGGAGAGGTTCAAAATGATGGTACTTCATAATTACCTCAGCCAGTGTGGGAATTGGATCCATGCTGTTGGCATCACTCGACAGGGTAAACCAGCCAACTGCACTAGCCAACCCCTTTAAACTATTATAAGTTTCACGTGTCTAATCAAACTGACGTGAAGAGGTGATTTTCACCGGATGAACGAATAGGCAGAGAACGGTTGAAAACAGATGCCACATTATATCTTAATTGAAATCAAGCTCCCAAATAATTTTTTTTCCCTGTTTCACTACTAATCAAGTTCCCATTCCTGGGTTTCATACTGCCTATCTTCCGGCTTTTCTACTGCCCCTATTATTTCTCTGCCTTTCCCTGTGTGTTTGTATTCACTTGGGTCTGTCCCTTTTCCACTGTGGTACCTTATTTCCACTCCTGTATCTTCCTTTTCCAGCTTCTTTGTTTTGATGCTCTTATTTGACTTTATCGCAAGAACCAAATGAATTCCTATGGAACAGGATCAGTGACTGATTTGGAGGAAAGTTACAGATGGTGGTGTTTCCCTGTGTTTGTCCTTCTGGATGGAAGTGATTGTGAATTTGGAAGGTGCTGTCTAAAGATCTTTGGTGAGTTGCTGTAGAACATCTTGTATGTGGTACACATGGCTGCTTCTGAGCGTTAATGGTGGAGGACGTGGATGTTCGTGGATGTGGTGCCAGTCAAGCAGGTTGCTTTGTCCTGGTTGATGTCAAGTTCCTTGAGTGCTGTTGGAGCTGCACTCATTCAGGTCAGCGGGGAGTATTCCATCACATTCCTGGTGCCTTGTAGATGATGGACAGGCTGTGGGAAGTTAGGAGATGAGTTTTTTCCTGCAGCATCTTGAGCCTCTGACCTGCTTTTAGAGTTATAGTATTTATGTGGTTAGTCCAGTTCGGTTTCTGGTTACTGGTGTCCCCCAAGGTTTTGGTCGTGATTCATCCAACTGCAGTACTTGAAATCAAAATGCTTGCAGGCAAAGTTATCATCTTGAATATTCATCAGACAAGATTAAAGTAATAATTCTTACTGTACGTACATTTGCTTCTCTCCCAAGCTGATAGTCCTCTGGATTGGAACTTCCAAATCCAGGAAACCCTCTGAGAGAGGTCTGAATCCTGATGGGGTCACCTAATAGGAGTTGCAGTCTCCTGGGCCTTGATTTTCCCTCCAAAGCAGCCAAGTTTTAACCTAACGTCAAAACTCACCCATCAAAATATGGCACCAGTTGAAATTGGGACAGTAATTGATTTTGCAAAGATCTTCCAAAATTTATGAAAATGTGAAGCTTGCAAGTCCCTGAGTTACAAACAATGATGACCTTATCACACCCAGGATGACAAGTTTGCTTGGATATGAATTTTAGAATCTTTACCTGAATTGTCTTGGTAATTCGCAAAAATGAGGATATTGTTTAAACGGGATGTGGAGACACTGTTGTTTGAGACTAGATTATGACAGTGTTGGTAAGGTGATGAGAAGTACAAAGACAAGCTACTAGATTGAAATAGTTTAGTCTTTTTCTTGAAATCGCTCTCTTTCTCAACTTTGCTGTTTTAACTTGGAACCTGCTTTCCCTCTCTTTCTCAATCCATTCTCTTTGTCTTGCTCTACATTATCTATAAACCCATTCCACGAAATAATACCTATCTCAAGTCTTTGGAAGAATATCTACTGCATTTTGTGATTATGTTAACTATCCTTCTCAGTTATTTTCTGCATTGTCTCTCACTCTTTGCATCTGCTAAATGATTGTTGCTTTTTGCCCAAAAGAGAACCAACCAGCTCATTGCAAGTTCCAGTTTTGAAATTTGGCTTTAAAAAAATTCCTTCTGCATTTGTCAGTTAAAAGAAAAGTTGCTGTCGGTGTGAACTGATCACGGATAATTATATAAAATAATTCATTTGAAAACATTTAATTATCAGTCTCTCTTTGGGATGATGGGTCAGTGACAGTAGGCTGGCACATTTGCTGAGATGTATTGCCGCTGATGCTAGTGCAATGTCAACTATGATTTTCGTCCTGTATTTTTGTCCCATTATTTAGGTAAAGCATCATCAAGCTGCTGAGCCTTTGCAACAACATCTTGACTATTGTATGTGACAGATGTATCTCTATATTGGAGATGACGTGTCGTTGTATAATGTATTTAACATTAATTTTGAAGCATGATTTTGATACATCAATAACAGAAGCAGTACTCTGCTTACTATATGGGGGGTGCTGGCATTGATTCAGGACCCCCATCAGTGCTGATTGCATACTTCACTCAGAAGTCTCCTCCCTTTTGTATGCGCTTTTCTGTGTTATCTACATTTGCAACAGATCTGGGAATGTTACAAAGCATCTGGCTGCTGTGCAATGTTGTTTAGGATACAGATTGAAAATGACAGGATCAGACTATACTTGTCGTTTACTGTCCCAGTACGATGGTAGAGGAGGGAGAAGAGTGCCTGTGCCAATCTCTTATGTGCTGGGCACCTGCAAACTTGATTAATTTGGTCTGGAGGATTGCACTGACAAAGGAACATGGACACTGGCTAAGAAAGTGGAATTCAAAGAGCTGATCAGCGTTTCAGTTTTTTGTTTAGTTTTGGCTTCATTCTACATGATGTCTGTCTGGAAACGACAAAGCCTTCTCCAATGGAATGGTGATTTACATGGTACAATGTCCCTTTTGATCTCTTCTGTTTGGGCAGTGCTGTTGTTGTACTCTCCCTAATTTGACAACCACATTTTAATGGTAAATGGTTTGAAAATGTAACAGGATTTTCTGGAGTTTCAAACACTGATTTTATTTTTTGACATTGTATTTTTGCAGATTCTGAGCACACAGCATCTCTAGTTTCAGACTGCACTTACTTGCAGCAGCTTGTAAGACAGTGAGAACGAGGCTGCCAACGGCTGCTGGTGCCAAGCTGTCGGATGATGCATAAAATCAGGCCACTGGTGGTGTTCCTGTGCTTCCTACTACTTGCTAATGCTGAAGGTAAGTCTACTCTAACCTTATTTTGTGGGATTTCTTGTACCCTCTTCTCCCCTTGTTCAGGCCCCTGCACACCCTCATTAAACTTCTCCAAATTATAACAGAAGGTCTGCAGGGATACATAAGCCTATCTTTAGATCTTGCTGCCATGTTTTTTCCTTCGCACAGTTGGAAGTGGAGCCTGCATCAGAAATTTGACTGCTGTGCATGTTTTCATTGTTTCTTGTCACAAGCTCACATGCTTTCAGTATCCACTGTCTGCAAGAAACTACCAATACTATATACTGTCTTGTCCAGGCTGGCACACTATACAGCTGTCTTATGTACCCTGGTACTGGGAGCAACATGAGCAGAGAGACAAATTTCACTCATCACTTTCGCAAAACTTCCCATGTTCAGTGCTACTCCACTTTGATGTGATGTACTTCAGTTAATTCTATGGACCCAGATATTTATAATCCTATCTAGGTACTGCAGTTCTTTATTTCTAGGATATTGTGTTGCACTGAACTCCCTTTCAAGTTTGTCACCCAGGGTTAGCAAAAGGTAACCTCAAGTAATAAGAGAGACATCTTTTGCTGTAATTTGGAAGTGACTTATGAATTTGTGTTCTTAAGTGCAATGCAGGTATACTTTTTGAATCAAGGATTTTGTCTTGTGTGATCTGTCCTCCCTTCTCCATTTTGATTCTCTTTTCAATGTGAGAAACAAATGATTAACACCAGCGTATTGCATGATGGTCCTGACTCTTTCAGTGGCATTGGCACTTGAGTTAAAAGTAGGTTCCTGTTGCTCAACAGCTTGTCTGTTACCCTTTGACTATAATGAAAGGAAGATGAACCTAAAGGCTGAAGAACTATGAGATAGTTGTATCAGTAGTTGACAGCACTGGCCTATTAATATATCATAAAATGAACACACATTTACAGTTTGTTGGAAATGGTTAGCAAAAAGCCTGCTGAAGAAGCTTCCGCTATGTGGGAGCAGAGTACAGTAACCATATGCCACTTGCATTGCGATGCATTCACTGCTCTGTTGAGCCATCTGCGCTCTCGTTGCCAGAGATTTCTGCCAAGTGTACTGGTCTCCGTATAAAAGCTCAGCAATTTCAAGCTTAACATAATGTTTCTATGCTTTAAGTCTTCCAGTTTTCTTTGAACCTTCAGCAATAATATTTCAACCTTGTTAAAAAAAACTACAGAGTAGTAGAAAAAAAACATATGGAGTGCAAAGTTTTTTTATAAATATGAAAGTGATATGAGAATACATATTTCTCTTCCAATATTAAAATTGAGAATACCTAATTGGCAGCATTATTATTAAAAACTGCAATAAATATATGTGAGAAAATAATGCAATATGTAATAGTTTGGGATCTAATAGCGGTCAATTGATGACAGCACTACATTACAATTGTGAAAAGGAAATGCTGCTTTCTAAAGGGGCAGTGAATGCAAACCTTTTCTTATTGGGTCATGCTGAAAACACCATAAAATGCCCAGTGGATAGTTGACAGGTTTTTTAAGGGATAGAAAGGGGACAGTGACAGAAATAGAAAGAAGGGTTCTCAACATTTGTGTGCTGACAGCTGATATTAATTCAGTTGATCTGATATTTTTTCATCGTATACTGGATGGATTGATGTTACAGCTCAATGCATCTGCTTCAGCAGCTGAATTAATACATCCACGTCTAGTTGCATTGGATGAATAGAATAGTAATTTCTTATCTGTTTAAAATGAAGCTATGGAAGAGCCATTTATTCCTCTTGTTGTCTCTGATTGTGTGCTTGACAGTACTGAGACACTGCAGTAATGTGACTGAATGATGTCATTTGGTGGTATTGGTCATTTGAATGTCGTTGCTGGTAAGATGTGTTTTCATTCTGAATCATAAGTTTCATAGTCCTTGTGTGTCTTTTTTTCAATCTGCAAGAGCATACCAAAACACTTGGTTTGACTAAAAAGTAAAAATTGTTTGAGATTGATCAGTTATAGATCATACAATCCCTACAGTGTGGAAACAGGCCCTTCGGCCCAACAAGTCCACACCAACCCATCCCCCTATAACCCACCTGTTCTACACATCCCTCAACAGTACGGGCAATTTAGCATGGCTAATCCACCTAACCTGCACATCTTTGGACTGTGGGAGGAAACCGGAGCACCCGGAAGAAACCCACGCAGACACAGGGAGAATGTGCAAACTCCACACAGACAGTTGCCTGAGGGTGGAATTGAACCCAGGTCCCGAGTGCTGTGAGGTAGCAGTGCTAACTACTGAGCCACTGTTATACAAATTAAGAAAGGAACAAACATGAAATAGGTAGAATTGGGAAATAAAAATTGGATAAGGTTTTTAAAGCTAGTTTGAAATCTTTCGCTGGGCCTCCAGGCTTGGATGCTACAGTTGGTTTCTCTTTAGCAAAAGAAAAATGGGACTGCCTGTTTTTCTTTGTAATTAATGACCTATTAAAATCAAATGAACACAGGTATTTGAAAGGACTGATTTGTAAGAATATGATTTTGTTGGCTGGCAGATTACGCAGAGCAACACTCTTCTTTCTAAAATAAGTGACAAATTTGAAGGTTTTGAAATGAATGGCAGAACTAATTTAGTAATCTCTTACGTCTGACCACACACATAACTGCATCCTAACATTTTTCTGTAAAACCTGAGAAATACTTTGTGAATAGTCACATTTTGCATAGAAACTGTCAATATTTGAAAAAGTCAAACCCTAGATTAACATGGTAGTTGAAGTAGTAACTTATTAACATGTAGAAAGTTAGATCGATATTTTAACACAGAAATCTGCAAACTGTTCAATTTTCAAATTAATGACTTATGGATAAACTGACTCAGAATGAGCACATTGACACAGTAATCAATGTATTTGCAGGTTGTTTGATGATATTGTATTTTTTAGTGGCACTTCTTGATCTGCATTTTGTTTACCAATAATGTAATAAGGTGTTGATTTAATTCTGTTCTATCGCCTATTGGATAAACACTTGGAGCAGAGGCAGACAATGTATCTAAGGGGGTGACAACAGCAGAGGATTAGTTTGGATTGCTTGAGCGAAAGTTGACAATGGTCTCCTTTTGTGCTGTACACGTCTATGTATCTTCTACATTTTCATTATTTGTTAATATACAACCTGGAACAGACTCTGCCTGTCTGATTGTCACTGTAGATCAACATATTCAAACACTTTACAAAGGCAGAATGAAAGAATTGAATAGAATGTACAGCACATGGGCAGACCATTGAGTCCAGCTGGCCTATGACGGAGTTTATGCTCTACATGAGTCTGCTGTTCTGTTCCAAGAAGCCAGTTGGTGAAAGATGAATTCTAGCTTTGAGAGGACAAAGTCAGTCCTGTATTTATTTACAAAGTAAAACATTATAAGTGTACATCTCCTGGTTTAACTACACCACAGATCTATTAAGTGGCCCATTTTATGTATCTTTCTGCATGTAATAACTCACCTCCAGGGCAAGTGGGATGTCCTCACCCTGGGGTACAATTAACACCACCCTCAACCTTAATTCATCAAACCCTATCTGAATATCCTTCTGTTTTCCTTATGTACATTTGTCTTAAATGTATTGATGCTGTTCACCTCAACTATTCTGTGTTCACTTTCTAGCTAATCTCTGCTTCCTGATTGGAATTATTAGAGAGTCACTTATATTTAGGACTTCAGATTTAGACTGTTCCCAAGTGAAAAGATCTGCTCTGCGCCTCCACTTTCCAATGCTTTTGTAATTTTTAAGATCTGCATTAGGTTACTCCCTGCAGAAGGAAATAGATTTTGGCCTGTTCAGTCTTTCCTGACATTAATATCCTCCCAGCTTCAGTGTAATTTTTGTTAACCGCCTTTTGTACCTTTCCCAGTAATGTCACAGGCATGATTTTCCCATCAGGGATGTGAATTGGATGATGGGATGATCCTGCTTGGGTTATGCCTTGGTTTCTAGACTGCCATGAGACTTTATGACATTGGCCTGCTACTCCATTAGTGGATGGGAATTGAAATAGATCCTAGCCTGAATTGCATGTCATTGCAATGGCTCCTATCTGTCTTTGACAATAAAAGACTGAAAAGAGCTTGAGCTTCTGAGTGACTAGGGTGAACAGCAGGCTGGGACCTGGTAGGGTAAAACAAGGTTGGTTATGAAAACTTCCTTATTCTGTCATATTTTGACTAAACTTGCACTGTTTATTTTGCATCAAATAAAACTGCTTGAGTGCTGCTTGTCTGTTCCTGCCAGGTCAGAGCTGGTCAGCCTCTCAGAGCTCCCAATGGCTGTCCACCCCAGTGAGTTTCTCATAGTCAGAAGGCAAGTTCTTAATACGTTGCCAGTGAAATCAATGCACCCTACTGAGGAGCGCATTTGCACTTGCCTACCCGATCTCTGTTCTTGCCACAGTTGTCTTAAGTTTGATGTAAATGAGATTTCATGTAATTTGAAGATTAGATTGACATCTTAAACAAATTGTTTATGGACATGACCTTCACTTAGAGCAACTACAGAGCTGCAGGGAACAGGTTACACTCTTCACTCAGAAAATGAGAAAATAACTTGCCGTTAGGGAAGGAAACTGCCATCCTTACCTGGTCTGGCCTACATGTGACTCCAGACCCACAGCAATGTGGTTGACTCTCACCTGCCCTCTGGGCAGTAAGGGATGGGCAATAAATGCTACTTGGCCAGTGATGCCCTCATCCCATGAATGAATAAAGGAAATTGGATATCAAACTATTCTATCCCATCCACTCCTTGCAGGAAAACAGACTCATCACTACACAGTTTAATGATGTCAGTTCCAGGAGTTTCACATTGAAGAATAACATGAAACAGGGCTGGGTCCTAGCTTTCACTCAGTTTGGTGTAATCTTCTCCATGTTTCTGACCTTCACCTTCCTTGCAGACTTCAAGGAGTCTCCTGGCACACTAGGTCAAATGGCAACTTCTATAATCTATTCAGGCTGAA